GGTTTAGGGTTTAGGGTTTAGGGTTTAGGGTTTAGGGTTTAGGGTTTAGGGTTTAGGGTTTAGGGTTTTGGCAGGTGGTGAAGCCGAACGCGAAAAAGATTCGGCGATTGCCTCAAGGAATCATTTTAGGGTTTGCAGGAGCAACAGCAGATTGTTTTACTTTACTGGAGAAGCTAGAAAGCAAACTAGAGGAACACCCAGGCAAGGGTTTAGGGTTTAGGGTTTAGGGTTTAGGGTTTAGGGTTTAGGGTTTAGGGTTTAGGGTTTAGGGCCCTGCGGAGCCCCCGCCAAAGAGGCAGCTCTGCGGGCATCCCTTTCTTCCCACTTCCGAAAGAAAGAATCATTTTATTTATTTATTATTATTTATTAATTTATTTATTTATTTATTTATTTATTTATTTATTTATTTATTTATTTATTTATTTATTTATTTATTTATTTATTTGTTATTGCAGGCCAGTTGGTTCGTTCGTGCGTGGAGCTGGCGAAGCTGTGGCGGACTGAGCGGGGGCTGCGACACCTGGAGGTGAAAAGGTGGAAAGTTGTCGAAAAAAGTCGGAAAAAAGCGGAAAAAAGTGGAAAAAAGTGGAAATAAGTGAATTAAAAGTTGAAATAAATGAAAATAAAACTCGAATTCGCGTTTATTCCGCCTTTTTCCCGCCAAAATTCCCCTTTTCGAGCAGGCGGTTCTCCTCGTCGCCGACGCCGCCCTCTCCCTTCAGGTGTCTGGACACGGCGACGTCCTCGAGGCCCACGACGGCGTTTTGGCCGTCGGCAGCGGCGGCCCTTTCGCTGCAGGTTTTTCAATCATTTCTTTTTTTTTTCTTTTTTTTGCTTTTTTGGACTCTTTTTCGCGCCTTTTTCGAAGCTTTTTCTCCCCTCCAACAGCCCCTTCTTCTCTTCTTTCTTCTGCCTTTTTTTTCGGCTTTTTTTCGCCGTTTTTCGACGCTTTTCGACCACTTGACCTTCTTCACTTTGCAACTCTTTTTCCGTCTTTTTGTTCTTTTTTTCATCTTTTTTTCTTTTTTATCTTTTTGTTTCTTTTTTAGCTTTTTATTCCTTTTTTATTCAGCTCTTTTATTTCATTTTTATCTTTTTTTTCCTTTTTGTTCATCTCTTTTATTTCTTTTTTTCCTCTCTTTTATTCCGTTTTGTTCATCTCTTCTATTTCTTGTTTATCTTTTCTATTCCTTTTTATTCACCTTTTTTATTTCATTTTATCTTTTTATATTTTTTATTCCTATTTATTCATCTCTTTTATTCCTTTTTTATCTTTTTAATTCCTTTTTATTCATCTCTGTTATTTCTTTGTTCATCTTTTAATTCTCTTTTTTCTTTATTATTATTTCTTATTCATCTCTTTTAATTCTTTATTCATCTTTTAATTCTTTATTATCTTTTTTATTATTTCTCATTCATCTCTTTTAATTCTTTATTCATCTTTTAATTCTTTTTTCATTTTTTAATTCTTTATTAATTTTTTTTTTATTTTTTTATTTTTTTATTTTTTTTTCAGCTGCTGCTCGAGCGCTTTTTGATGTCCCAAATTTGACGGCAAAACAAATCTGCGAAAAGGCCATGAAGGTTGCAGCAGGTAAAATAGCTAGCTAGCTAGCTAGCTAGCTAGCTAGCTAGCCAGCTAGCTAAATGGCTAGCTAGCTAAATGGCTGGGTAGCTCAATAGCTAGCTCAATAGCTAGCTAGAGAGGTTGCTAAAGAGCTAGCTAAGTGGCTAAATAGCTAGCAAGCAAGCTAGCTAGCTAGCTAGCTAGCTTGCTAGCTGGCTAGCTAGGTAGCCATAGCTAGCTGGCGATCTATAGGTGGGGAGCGGGCTGGCTGGTCAGAACCGGCTAGCTAGCTAGCTACCTAACCAGCTTCCTAGCTAGCTAGCTTGCTAGTTAGCTAGTTAGCTAGTTAGCTAGCTAGCTAGCTAGCTAGTTAGCTAGCTAGCTAGCTAGCTAGCTAACTAGCTAGGTTTTGAGTGCTCCAGTGTTGTAGCTAGTCAGCCACAGATATCTCTTGTAGCTACAGCTAGCTGTGGCTGGCTAGCCAGGCCTAACGAACTCTAGGTAGCTAGCTAGGGCTAGACACGAGTAGCTAGCTAGCTAGCTACACACGGCTAGCTAGCTAGCCAGCGACCTCGGTATACCTAGCTAGCTAGCTAGCTAGCCACA